AGAAGGAATGTTAGACTGAACTCTGAGTATTTAATTGAATTCCTAACTTAGAGGACAATAGGAATCAGCATGAATTTGTGTGTTCCCAGATATATATAAAGACAGATAAATACAAAAATGTAGATGTGTGAATGTAGGAATATATAGATAAGAATTTCCTAGCCCTGTCTGATGAGAGGACCTAGGAGTAATGCTATCTTGATAGAAATTAGCACACTTTGCATCCAGACTTTAATTTCTAAATTCCATTCTTCAATAAAAGGAACCAGAGCTCCCTGGAAAAATAGCTGATTCCAAGCCTAGTGTAGAAAAAAATAAAAACACAGCTTGGGATAATTCTTTGTGGTGTCTGAAAGTAGATTAATGTTCAAAAGAAGATAGGGGCATACCCAAATAGTACAGGGGCCAAGATGCACTCCCAAAGGCCAACTCTTGGACAATCTGAGCAACAAAATATGTAACAGTAGTAATGGATTATAACCCACAGAATAAACTAATGATGCAAAAGTCCGTACTGATGTAAGTAAATAAATTAATAAGGAAGAACAGCTTTTCCTTTTAGTAAAATTCCAACTAAAAGGCAAGAATAATGGAATGAAAAAGAAATCACCATTAGGTACTCAGCATATTAATAACTGTTGTAGGCAAGGATAATGAGAGTAAGAACAGATAGAAATTATATACATTAATATTACTAAACAAATAAGATGTTAGACCCAAATTGAGCTGACTATGAACAGGTTTTCCCAATATGCTAAACTGCTAAATCTTTCCATGGTTGATGAGCTCTAAAATTGAATGAGATAAGCATCATCTCTTTTATTCACGTCACCTAATGCAATGGACACTAACAATAACATATTCCTACTTTAGAGGACAACAGGGGCCAGGAATAGTTCTGCAATATCACAACCAAATGGACAGTGATTGAGGAAATAAGTGGTTCCAAATATACCTAGAGTCAACATCAATTAACCAAATTAATCAAAAACTAACTTCTTCCAGATCTTTATGCTTTCCATTCGATGACAAAGTCCTTTAGTGCAAGGCAAGGAGCTGATTTTACCTTGAAGAGCTAACGTTTCTTAGGGGTCTTCTATGTGCCAACCTCTCTGCTTATAAATTTATGTACACGACTGCACAGCATCATCAGAGTCTTTTACAGATTAGAAACTAGCATAACCTCCATTATCACAGGAAAACTTGGAAGGTGGTAGACAATGTGCAAAATCCAAATACAGGCTTTCCATCTGACTTGCTGTTACAAACTACACAACACACTTCGTGTAAAAGAAGAGAAGTGCATTGGATGTAATATGCTATCCTCAGGTCTTCCTCCGCTGGTCTCTTTGGAAACTCAGTGTGTTTCTAGTGCATAATTACAACTGCTGGTTTCTTGAAAAGGTCAGGCAGTGCCCCTCAAGGTGCATTTTTTCCATCACATGCCATGCGAGCATGACTCTTACAGCTCTGTCATTTACTGTGATAGATTTCCTATATTTCCAACTACGTTCTTTGGGGGTAAAGTTTTAAATCAGATTTGAGGGCAATGAAGGGTTAATGAAATGATCTTGGTGTAATTATTCACTATAAAACATCTCCCTGTTTAGTCGTGGCTTTAGATGATTTAATTTATGAATAAAAACAAAAAAAAATCTCCTGGGGCAACAGAGAAAGCTGATACCAAGAAGAGAGGTACCTATTTGTAACAATTTTGATCACAAGTGGAAAACCATGTTACTTGTCAAAGACACTATTAGGAAACTCACTAAGATGCAAAGTGGAAACAAACAACCACCACAACCACAACAGCCTGCTTGCCTTTTCCCATTGCTCAGGAATATTTGTATTTTTCCATCTAGAACAACCATTTGAAATGTAAGACAGAAAAGAAAATGCCTGGGTGACATTAGTCTTAATGTTTTCTGTTCTGTGTCCATTGTATTGAATACATGGGGATTCAGACACACCCAACTCTTGTCAAACCTTCCTCCCTCTCCAAAGTGGCTTCATAGCAACGTGATTAGAATCCTTAGAACTCAAGAAAAGTTTGATGTATGACAGAAATCAATCCAATATTGTACAGCAATCACCAATCAACTAAAAATAAATAAACATTTAAAAAAGGAAATCAGAGGAAGATCAAATATGCAGGGTGTCTTTTACCTAAAGCAAAACGGGTCTCTCCGCACTTAACAGTGCCATTTTGTGGAAGGTTTCTGGTTGATGCTTTGCTTTTCTGAAGCAAAAAGCACTTCTATAACTCAGCTGTTAAAATCATGGGGAGGAACAGCACAGGTTTTTGTTTTTTGTCTGTGTTTTCTCCCTCTGTGTAGAGGCATGGTATATCAGTGTTCAGAGCCCTAAGTCCACACATCCTTTGTACTGATAAATTATTGCTAAATAAAGGGGGATAAAAAGCAAAGGTCAAGACAGACAGGGCTTCCCAGGTCACTCAGTTGGTAAAGAATTCTCCTGTCAAGCAAGAGACACGGGTTTGATCCCTGTTTCAGGAAGATCCCCTGGAGAAGGGACTGGCTACCCACTCCAGTATTCTTGCCTAGGAAAGCTCATGGACAGAGGGGCCTGGGGGGCTACAGTCCATGGGGTCGCAAAACAGTCAGACACGACTTAGCAATTAAACCACCACCACTACCACCACCACCCGGCAGACTATCTCAAGTGATCTGTGTCTGAGATATCTGATCAGCTTTCCGTGTGACGCCACCAAGGAGCAGAAGGCAGAAAAGCCCTGTGTTCTAGTCAGACTTCTGCCCTTAACTAGCTTGGATGCTTGCAAAGCCTCTCACTAATATCTTACCCACTGCTCTCACTGTATTCGTCTTTTCTTCTCCCAGGCCTTCCTAAAAAGCAACATTAATCATGACACATCCCTGTGTAAAAACATCTTTTAATTGCAATCAAATAAAATTAGAGTTCTCTAGATAGACATATAAGGCCCCTCACAACCGTATCAGAAGTGTCCTTCAGAAAGTCTGTTGCTTATGGCCTCTTCTAGGATTGCCCCACCTGTTATCTTCTCCAGGGGGTGACCTGGAAAAACGGAAAGGGATGACCACTAGCTTATGACACAACCTGGTGGGAAAAATACTGCCTGAATATAAATGATGATGATTAAATGAGCCAATCTGATTCACTTCTTGGAATCTGTGCTAGAAAACAAGGGGAGAAATTAGCAACTTATTAACAGAAAAGCGGACAAAAACAAAGGATATGAATTAATGGTAGACAACGAGAGTGAAACCTCAGAAGTTTTGCTTCCAAGATTCCTAGATCTGCTTTGGATTTCAAATGATCTCCCCAGTTCAAGCTCAGGGCCCTTACTTTTGCTTGGTTCTTGCTTTCCTCTACCTGGTGCTTGGCTTTGCTTAGCTTCTCTCCAGCCTCAGGCATATGGCAAAGATCGTTGCTTACTTATTCTCATGTGCATCCTTAGAATACACTCACTATAATTTAAGGTAACCATGTTGAGCGTACTGCTGTTCAAACACCACCTTCACTACCAACTTCATCTCCAACAACAGAAATAAAACAGAAATACGACTTTACACTTACTTCACCTGGAACATACTTATCCTTTCTTAAGGTTCTGGATTAAATATCATGTTGTCTAGAAAACCACACGGCTCTGCAGGCCAGACTTTGAAACTGAGATGGTGACCGTGCCCTGCTCCCTTTGAAATCTTAGAGGGTGACTCCGTCTTAGGGGCTTCTGCTTTCTGGTGTTTTGGTGGCCATCCTTGAAGTTCCTTGCTTGGACATACATCACTGCAATAGCTGCTCCTTGTCACATATTAACTTTGTCCTTGTGGGTCTCTACCCTTGTTTTATGAGGGCACCAGTCATGGGCTTTATGGTTACCATATTATCCTACAATAGCATGACCCTGTCTTAGCCAATTACATCTGTAACCACCCTACTTCTTAATAGGGTCACAGTCTGAAGTCCTAGGGGGTAAGACTTCAACATAACTTTTGAGCAAGATGCAATTCAACCTGAAACAGGAGTCAAAAATTGTGATCCCTACCAGCTTCACCACTCTCCAACTGTGTGCATTTAGACAAGTTATTTTTACTAGGTCTTCTTTGCTTCTTTTCCAAATTAGGAATCACAGTGCCCAAATAACTGGTTTGTTGTAAAGAACCAAAGAAATGCTTTACTGACAGGTTTCTCTTATAAGGCAGGTATTCAACACTGTTAGTGCACAGACAAGTAATATTAAAAAATCCCTATCTTAAACAGTATCCAAAAAGGAAAATAATCGAGGTCAATCCACGTTGCTGCAAATGGCATTATCTCATTCTTTTAAATGGGCAATATTCCATTGTATATATGTACCACATCTTCTTTATCCATTCACCTGTCTATGAAGGAACCTGGAGACTATAACACTAAGGACTTAAATCAAACAGACAAATATCATACACTATCATTTATATGTGGAATCTTAAAAAAAAAAGATACAAATGAATTTATTTAGAAAAGAGAAACAGACACACGCAAAAGAACAGAATTCATAGGGTGGAAGGGTGGGGAAAGGGGGAGGGATAGATTAGGAGGTCAGTATTCGCAAGTACACATAGCTATATTTAAAATATAGATAATCAACAAGGACCTCGTGTAAAAATTAATTAATTAATTAAAAAACAAAAGGAAAAAACACGGGGGAAAAAAGCTAGCATGAATTCGGGGCCTATAACGTATCAGGCTCTTGAAGAAACTATTCAGATCTAGGAGAACACGGACGACATACCTTTGACATGCAGCCACATAGAAACCCTGGGAGGCATGGGTGGGGGGCGCCCCCAGGATGCGGCGGAACCCATTTTGAGACCATTAGCGTCTGCCTGTACGTACCTCAAAGGTCGATCCACAGCACCTTCCACGGCTACGTGCAGACCAAGTTCTAAGAGGCCGAACTGGAGCCACAGGCCCCGCACTTTGACTAACTTACCAAAGTGCACTTTTGACAGACTTACCTGTTCTAAAGGGACGGCCCTGTCTGCCGGTTCCTGCGCTCCCTGAAGCGCTCACCCGACTCAAGCTGAACACCCACTTCCTGTTGAATTGGGCCCACTTCTACGGGGCGCCGGAGGGGCCACACCCTGAGTGACGGAAGCCGGGAGGCTTTCGCGTGGCCAAACCCAGCCATTCTGACCAGCCGCTTCATGGACGAGAAGCAGTCAAATGCAGGAGCGGGACCAAGCTGAAGGTAAGGATGCCGGTGAGATGGCGAATGGAGCTCTCCCTGGATCAACTCAACTTGGTTAGATTAAGTTAAATAATTAAAAAGAAACACGGGAAGAGAGGGGAAGAATCTCCAGTGACCTTTTCTCTTTCATTTTTTGAGATGCTCTATTCAGAGGCCTGGCCTTCAAGGCCAAATGTGGCAAACTGGACTAGGCTTTGTCATTTACCAAGGTGTTTGCCGCTTTGCCACCTCACAGAGGTTGTGCTTTTCAATTCAGAGGTAACAATTGAAAACAGAAAGTTATACTTGCCATTCTTTTTTTTTAATCTTATTTTTTTTCCATTTAAGAGTTTTGCTGACTCATGCAGCACAAATCGACCCACACGAAGGAGTACTGAAAAAATTTTCCCTTGTGAAATTAACCCACTTGTTCTGGGCTGGATGGAATTTTTTTTTAACTCTTAAAACACGATTAAGGCCAAATTGGCCTTGCGTGGAGGTTGGGGGTGGGGGGTGGGAGAAGGAAGGGGCCTTGACTTTAAGCTCAATTTAATGCCTGAACCAAGAGTTGTTGGTGTTAAATCCACCTGGGTCAAGTCAGATGCTCTTGTTCTCTCAGCTCTTTAACTGGAAATCAGAAAAATCTGCCTCTTTTGAGCTATTGATGTCTCTTTCATGTGCGGAATGTGGAGATGAGATGCTACAAGTGGAAGGCAAATAAAAACGAGCTGATTAAAAAAAATGAAACCTGCTTTATTCCACACTTGGCACCTTGCTTTAGTTTTGTTTCCTAGTTTGTGTTTTAGTTAGTTTTGTTCTTAACTGGTAAGTATAATTTTTTATTTCCTCTGTTCACCAGGTTAATCTACTATACTATATTTTTTTGGACTGTTTTGACTCTGCTTATGGGTGTATATGTATAGGTATATATTCCATTATTTTAAATATTATTTTCCTGACTTTGTAATTGCCATTTGTGTGGGATTCATTTTTGGTTTCTCATTTTTGGGTATTTGCTTGAATCTCACTTAATGCCATAACAAACTACTTGTGGAATCTTTGTTCCCGACCAGAGATCAAGCCCTGAGCCTTTGGAGTAGGAGCACTGACTCCCAGACCCTAGACTACGAGAGAATTAACCATAGGGAGTATCAAATAGTGAGAACTCACACAAAGGACGCCACTTGGGTACAAGAGCCAGCATCACCCAACCAGGAGCAGCACCCTGTGCAGGAGCCTCATCTAAACAACAAACAAAACAAAAATACAAACCCAATCATCAACAGACAGGATTAGGACCTCACTCAGCCTTGCCCATCAGAGGAAAAACAAACAAACAAACAAAAACTCAGCACAAATCTCAGCCTATATGAAACAAACTATCAGACCAACCTTAGGAGGGCAGAAACCAAAAGGAAGAGAGAAATCAACCTTGAAGCCAGGGAAAAGGAGACCTTAAACACAATAAGTTTAAAAAACTAATAATAATGAAAAGGTAGAGAAATACTACACAATTGGAGGAATAGACTAGAAACACAGAAGTCCAAATAAAGAAGATGAAATAGGCAAGTTTCCTGAGAAAGAACTCAGAATGATGATAGTAAAGATGATTAAAAACCTTGAAAATTTCTAACACCATACACAAAAATAAACTCAAAATAGATTAAAGATCTAAATGTAAGACCAGAAACTATAAAACTCCTAGAGGAGAACATAAGCAAAACACTCTCCGACATAAATCACAGCAGGATTCTCTATGACCCACATCCCAGAATATTAGAAACAAAAGCAAAAATAAACAAATGGGACCTAATGAAACTTAAAAGCTTTTGCACAACAAAGGAAACTATAAGCAAGGTGAAAAGACAGCCCTCAGATTGGGAGAAAATAATAGCAAACGAAGCAACAGACAAAGGATTAATCTCAAAAATATACAAGCAACTCCTCCAGCTCAACTCCAGAAAAATAAATGACCCAATCAAAAAATGGGCCAAAGAACTAAACAGACATTTCTCCAAGGAAGACATACAGATGGCTAACAAACACATGAAAAGATGCTCAACATCACTCATTATCAGAGAAATGCAAATCAAAACCACAATGAGGTACCATTACACGCCAGTCAGGATGGCTGCTATCCAAAAGTCTACAAGCAATAAATGCTGGAGAGGGTGTGGAGAAAAGGGAACCCTCTTACACTGTTGGTGGGAATGCAAATTAGTACAGCCACTATGGAAAACAGTGTGGAGATTTCTTAAAAAGCTGGAAATAGAACTGCCATATGACCCAGCAATCCCACTTCTGGGCATACACACCAAGGAAACCAGATCTGAAAGAGACACGTGCACCCCAATGTTCATCGCAGCACTGTTTATAATAGCCAGGACATGGAAGCAACCTAGATGCCCATCAGCAGACGAATGGATGAGGAAGCTGTGGTACATATACACCATGGAATATTACTCAGCCATTAAAAAGAATTCATTTGAATCAGTTCTAATGAGATGGATGAAACTGGAGCCCATTATACAGAGCGAAGTAAGCCAGAAAGATAAAGACCATTACAGTATACTAACACATATATATGGAATTTAGAAAGATGGTAACGATAACCCTATATGCAAAACAGAAAAAGAGACTCAGATGTATAGAACAGACTTGTGGACTCTGGGAGAAGGCGAGGGTGTGATGTTTCAAGAGAACAGCATCGAAACATGTATATTATCTATGGTGAAACAGATCACCAGCCCAGGTTGGATGCATGAGACAAGTGCTCCTACCTGGTGTACTGGGAAGACCCAGAGGGATCGGGCGGAGAGGGAGGTGGGAGGGGGATCGGGATGGGGAACACATGTAAATCCATGGCTGATTCATGTCAATGTATGACAGGACCCACTACAATATTGTAAAGTAATTAGCCTCCAACTAATAAAAAAAAAAAAAAAACCTTGAAAACAAAATGGAGACAATACCAAGAATCAATTAACAAAGACCTAGAAGATTTAAAGAATAAACATACAGAGACAAAAAACAGTTACTGAAATTAAAAATACTCTAGAAGGAATCAATAGCAGAATATCTGAAGCAGAAGAACAAATCAGTGAGCTGGAAGATAAAATGGTGCAAATAACTTCTGAACAGCAGAATAAAGTACAAAGAATGAAAAGAACTGAGGATAGTCTCAAAGACCTGTGGGACAATATCAAACACACCAACATTCGACTTATAGGGGTCCCAGAAGAAGAAGAGAAAAAGAAAGGGTATGAGAAATTTTTTGAAGAGATTATAGTTGAAAATTCCTCCAAGTGAAAAAGGAGATAGTCAATCAAATCTGAGAGGTACATAGAGTCCCATATAGGATAAGCCCAAGGAGAAAAATGCCAAGGCATATACTAATCAAACTAACAAAGACTAAACACAAAGAAAGAATATTAAAAGCAGCAAGTAACAAACAAGGGAAACCCCACATGTTTAACAGCTCATCTTTCAGCAGAAACTCTGCAGGCCAGATGGGAATGGCAGGATATATTTAAAGTACTGAAAGGGGGAAATCTACAACAAAGATTACTTTACCCAAATGAGGTCCAGCAAGGATCTCATTCAAAATTGATGGAGAAATAAAAAGCTTTTCAGACAAGCAAAAGTTAAGAGAATTCAGTACCACCAAACCAGCTTTACAACAAATGTTAAAGGAACTTATATAGTCGAGAAATACAAGAGAAGAAAAAAGATCTACAAAATCAACCCCAAACAATTAATAAAATTGCAATAGGAACTTATATCTCAATAATTAAGTGTAAATGGATTAAATGCTTTAACCAAAAGACACAGACTGGCTGAATGGATACAAAAATAAGACCCATATATATGCTGTCTACCAGAAACCCACTGCAGAGCTAGAGACACATATAAACTGAAAGTGAGAGGATGGAAAAATATATTCCATGCAAATGAGAAACAAAAGAAAGCTGGAGTAGCAATCCTCATATCAGACAAAATAGACCTTAAAGAAGATTACAAGAGATAAGGAAGAACACTACCTAATAATCAAGGGATCAATCCAAGAGGAAGACATAACAATTGTAAATATCTATGCACCCAACATAGGAGGACCTCAATACATAAGACAAACACGAACAGACATAAAAGGAGAAATTGATAGTAACACAATAATAGTAGGAGACTTTAACACCCCACTCACACCAATGGACAGATCATCAAAACAGAAAATTAATAACGAAACAGAAGTCTTACATTAGATGAGATGAATCTCATTGATAGTCTCAGGACATTCCAAATGCAGAAGAATGCACCTTCTTGTCAAGTGCATATGCAACATTCTCTGAGATAGACCACATCTTGGGTCACAAATGAAACAACTGACAAAAGATTAATTTCCAAAATATACAAGCAGCTCATACAACTCAATACCAGAAAAACAACCCAATCAAAATTGAGAAAAAGACCTAAACAGACATTTCTCCAAAGAAGACATGCAGATGTCTAACAAACACATGATAAGATGCTCAACATCGCTCATTATTAGAGAAATGCAAATCAAAACTACAGTGAGATATCACCTCACACAAGTCAGAATGACCATCATCAAAAAGTCTACAAACAATGCTGGAAAGGGCATGGAGAAAAGGGAAAACTCTTGCACTATTGGTGGAAATATAAGTTGATACAGCCACTATGGAAGATGGTATGGAGATTCCTTTAAAAACTAGGAATAAAACCACCATATGACTCAGCAATCATATATCTCAGGCATATAACCTGAGAAAACCAAAATGGAAAAGACACATGTATCCCATTGTTCATTAAAGCACTATTTACAATAGCTAGAACATGGAAGCAACCTAGATGTCCATCA